TCTCCTAAATGCAGTATTCTCACACACTCATCATCACTTCTTCCTGTCCTCAGAACATCGACATCCAGAACTTCTCATCCAGTTGGAGTGATGGGATGGCTTTCTGTGCCCTGGTTCACTCCTTCTTTCCCACCGAGTTTGACTACACCCCTTTGTCACCAGCCAATCGCAGGCACAACTTTGAGCTGGCCTTTGGAACTGCAGAGTGAGTGATAACAATATGAAAATAGGCTGTGGATAATTTATTTTTGAAGATATGACAAAGTGCTGCTTCACAAGCTTAAAAAATACACTTTCTGTCAATTCGTAGGTTTTACATATATTATATGTAGAAGACATTATGTTTCTCATTCTTACCAGGCCTTAAATTATATTCTTAATGACATTCACGTATATTTTATTTTTAACAAGACACTACAAGAATGGTTTTTTTTTTATTTCATTTTAATGTTTATTATCTTCTCTCAAACATTATGTTTATTTTCATTCTGTTTTTTATTTTTTTTATTTTTCATTTCAATATTTCATTTAGTTTTGTAAAACCAAAATATTTCCTTTCATTTTGCTTTGATGGAAGGTTAATTCACTAAAAACAGATACATTTTCACACGGCTCTTTGCAGTACTATAAAAAAATTCCCTTCCACAGGAGGAGGAGGATAGATAGTAACCAATAACCAAATGCCCTTGACTAACTGATCAGAGAGTGTGAGCGCATCTGTAAAAGCAGGTACGTGTGTGTGTGTGAACACAATGCCACAACCTTCGCAGGATTAGATGTCCAACCAAATTCTCTCAAAGGTCCAGCACTCAGAGAAACTGCAAGAAACCCAAGAGCTCCATCTCAGCATGTTAAATGTACAGTAAGCTAATTGTGTTTGACATAAATTAGCCCAGATGTCACAGTTTTCCTTTAACTTCCTCCCACTCTTGTTGTGTTACAAACACAAACAGTTATTAGTTAGCTGGAGCTCAGTTGTGGTGTCTGGATTCTGCTAATATGGCTTTAAAAGATTTATGAGCCTTAACTCCATCAGCCATGCATGTCTGCTTTATTGTGGTTGGATGTTTCTGAATGGCTTTTCTCTCTTGGTTTGTTTTATAGCTCTCCACAAAGACCCAAATGCACGCGTTTTAAACGATCATTACTCCTGCAGATCCAGTCCTTTTTATTTCTCCATGCTTTTTTCCCCTCCCTTTTTCACATTTGATGAAAGGTGTGCATTCCTTTTCCCTGACCAAATGGCTTCATAAAGCCCAGCTTATTATCCCACTGCACTACACAGACCTACAGCGTGGACGTGCACTACTTGATTAAAGACAAGTTTATTTTGTGCCTGCAGCAGAATTAAGCTGTTTTGACTGAAAAGCATTATTCAGTGGGTTCAGTGACCAGCTTTAGACTTGACCTCTTAAAGAGATCTGAGACTTACAGGACAGTGAATACACATATCAGGATGATTACATCCACCATGTCATTCTGTAACAAACTGTAACAAAACATGTCATGTTTGTTAAAAATCCATTTTCAGCAGCTTTACAGGTTCAGAACGCGACTGGCTGCTGTGTATTTTTTGCATGATACAGTTCAGTCGTGTAAATCAATAATTAGGTAACTTCAATCTTCAATCTTCTTCTTTAGAAACTTAGAAAGTCCACTCTTTGAAATACCCCTGATGCCACTTCTCTAGCCTTCCCTTTTCTTAGATTGTCTTCCTTTATCTCCACCTCCAGAACAAAGGCAGGCTGTGACCGGCTGATTGAGGTGGACGATATGATGATCATGGGCCGTAAGCCAGACCCCATGTGCGTCTTCACCTACGTGCAGTCCCTCTACAACCACCTGCGGAAGTTCGAGTGACGCTCAAAGACCTCTTTGAAAACATCAACATGCTATCAGCTAATTTCTGGTTTGCTGTCAGGCAGAGGCCTCTGCATGTAGGGCTGGTGGACAGAGCTGGCACGTTGGAAGGACTAGGTCGCCCCCTAGTGGTGGATAAATAAACAATCCTCTACTGTGCTGCAGGAGAAGCAGCCCAGAGGGGAAGTGCTCACAGCTTGGGTCACTGACAGAGTGGACAGTGTTTCATCCATGCTGTGTATGAACAATCATGAAGATGGATTCATACACAGCGGTCAGCAGTTTTTGTGTATGTGTGTGTGGTTTATATTTAGGTTTTTACTTTGTGTATGAGTATTTGTGTGTATGGCTGAGATATACTGGAGAGAGAGCAGAAATGTTGCTGTGTTCATTATTGTCACACATGCTTGTAGGTTAACTTCCATATAAATTTCAACTTGCGCACCTGTGGAGAGGAGGTATGTCTCAGAAATGTCACATTCCGTAAGGCTGTACGTCCGACTGTTTAGGGCATATATGACGCAGTGTTGTAGAAAATAAAATTATATTTTGATATGATGGTGAGCAATCTTTCAATCCACATATGCTGGATGACACTTAGATGATGCTGAAATATGGAAAACAACATCAAGAAATTTTACTTCTCTGGGAAAACTGTTTTTTTTTCTTAATATCTACTTCTATATTATGACACAAGTGAAACGAATTTAAATAAACAGTGAAATTTATATGTTGCAGTTTTTTTCTATCCTGGATTCATTGGGAACTAAGCAACGCAAAATTTATGGTCACTCAAGTTACAATGAAAGAGTAACATAAAACATAACAATTGCAAATAGTTGATCACGTGATCAGGCTTTTGTAAATCCATCAAGTTGTGTGATTGTTTGGGTCTGTGTGGTTTGTAAGTTTCTCTTCCAGTTGTTGGAGCTGATTGCAGCTGGACAGCATCGGTTTCCAGACCATCTGCAATGTGTGGAGATTTTATACCATGTGTATGATAGGTTCCTCCACATCGTACAAGCTCAAATATATTACCTAAAGATCGATTCTGCTTGGAAGTTCCAGTTAACTGGATAGACTTTCAGTGTTACTTGGTCAGAAAGCCATAGTGCTGTGCTTCTGTCTCTCCTAAATTATAACAGCTGGCAGGTCAGGTTTGTTGTTATGACCATGATCTTCTTCAAAACCTAACCAAGTAGTTTTTAAGCCTGACAATTGAGTAGAAGATTAAGTATAAGTATTAAGCAAGAAAAAAAAAGAAAAGAAAGAAAAAACAGCAAGTGAGAAAAAGCAAGTGTAAAACACAAAGGGATGCCCAACTCATGAATAAACCATGATCCAACCTCATAATGTGGACTGTGCCTGACGTCTAGAATGTAAATTATCTCATGGGAACTGTAGGAGCAATGTAACGGTAGACACAGAAGACAAAACCTACTATGTGACACCCCAGGATAGTTGGGATTCCTGCTTTTCTTGACCTGGTTGAACAAAATCAGCACAAGTTACTGAAAAAGACTGAATAATAAGATTATTTTTCCATTATTGTCTTTCCAGTGTCCAACTAGTGTTGACACCAAACTGTGTAATGGAAAGGCATCTACATATATTGTGTTCTCAAGCTTTAAACAAAAACATGACCCTAACACCTGTACACTCTCAGAAATAGGGCTAAAGTGAAAAGTTCATTATTTTTCTTACATAACCAAACTCCCTACGAAGGATTTAAAATTCAAATAAACATTTCCCATGGGCGCCGTCAGGGTGAGAAAAATTACGGATTCTAAGCGCCCGTAACTTTATTTTATTTTTTTATTTTTTAACAAAAATTATTAGCCCATCAATATGGCTTCCATACATGACCATAAATGCGGTTTGCTTCAAAGGTGTTTGTTTCCTAATATTGGTTTTGTTTTGTTTTTCGAAACAAAGAGTAAATCCAGTCAACCTCTGACCCCACCTCCCCCGTCCTTATTTCGTGATTTGGTTTAGTCCAGGTGCACGCGCTGACGCTGAGCTTTGGAGCGGTAGGAAAAGAGACAGGTGGAAATATACTTGTACATGAAAGAAACTGCTTGACTTTCCTAGTGTTTGCTAGCTTACCTCATTGCTTATTTTATTATTTTTATTTTTTATACTTTAGTCAACAAGTAATTGGTGCAGGCAGACCTTCTGTGCATATGTATACTAAATCACATATCTGCCGGCTTGCTGCAAGAACCAACAGATCAAACCTCTGGCTCAGGCTTGGCTGTCCCACTCATATCACCCCACACCCACACACCTGACACTGAACCAGCCTCACTGATATCTGAAGAAGCAGGTGAGTTATTTTATGTCAAACATGTGTCTAGTTGCAGCAGGCCTCTTGAAAAAAAATTTTCGGTAATAATAATACATTATCTTTATAAGCCACATAAACAGCATTTTTGGAGGAGTGTGACTGTTGCAGGTGGTGAGCGCTTTTAGTGAGCAAAAACAGATTAAACCTATTTGAGTTCCACTAGGTCTCAGGGCAGAGATATATTTTAGTTCAATAAGGTACTTTATTTTCTGTGTGTGCTCAGTAGTTTATTTCAGTGTTCAGATGTACTCTGCAAGTACAGCCACACTGCTTACTGGTGACATTTATCACATTAGCTGTTAGCTTGAGAAGGATGTGGCAGAACACAAAGATTATCAAGTGTCATAATCTGACATCACATAAGATGTTTTGTTTGGTGGGGGGGGGGGAAAGAGGTCATAAAGACTGCAGCAGATTAAATAGTCTAACGACCTACTTGGAAAAAATGCAGAATAATTCAATGTACGATGTATATGTGTGTGTGTGTGTGTGTGTGTGTGTGTGTTTCTGCAAGATGGACTTTAAAGAATATATGATCTGTATCATGATGACATTTGGCTGAGAAAAAATAAATAAATGTAGGCTCATTTCGGAAATCTTCTGTCAGGACCTATAAAAATGACTCTATAAATGGTGCCTGAGCAGGTCCGGAGGACTTAAAGAGGCAGGAAAACAAGTCAGTTAGTAATTGGAGATTTACTGGATGCAGAGGGCTGGGTGTCCCATCTGATCTGAACGCGGTATAAGAAGCTCCTGACTCCTCCTCAACTCTCAGCATCGGTGAAGGCGAGCGGCAGAGGTGTGTTTGTGTGTGTGTGGAGTTATGGCTCTGTTCATGGACTCAGACTTCTCTTTACTCAAGCAGAACCAGCAGAAAGACCTGGCAGATTTCAAGGCATTATTCGGAGAACAGGAACACTCAAAAGGTGAGTCACAGAGAGCAAAAAACACTTTTGACTTTCTGACCGGCTGCTTCATAGAATCAGCTTTTCCCAACAAAACTCAATGAATGGTTGAATTATATTGTATATTACAATAAAATAGTCTAATAGGATAAAAGTAAACAAAAAGATGGCTGAGAAAATAAATCTGAAAGTTATTATTATAAAAAAAATTTATTCTTAACAGATACACATATTCCTAGGTTCAAGGCTATAATAAAATGTATTCTATAAAGTAAATAATTTCTAAATTACGAAAATATTTTTTTGTTCTTTAATTTCTTGTTAATAAATAAGTGTAATAATAATTATTATTATAATATAATAATGATAACAATAGTTATTATTACAATCCACGGTCAAACACAAAAGAACCTAAATGTTGACAAGTTTATGGGTTGTGATATTTTCCATCACCACAACAAGATTTCCCTTTCTGAAAGGCTGTTTATTTATTTATTATAGACCATTATTTTTTCAACTGTTTGACATTTTTCTTGATATTTGCATTGTAATTGGAAGATGCCCGCAGTGGGAGTGCCGTATCCTCTCCGGAGCCGGACAGAGGCATCGGTTTGATGGAGGGTCAGAGGAAAAGGAAGAGGACCATCTTCAGCCGTGCGCAGCTGTCTGAGCTGGAGCAGGCCTTCGCTGTGACCCCCTACCCGGACATCACCCTGCGGGAAAGGCTGGCCGCGCACACACACCTGCCTGAGAGCAAGATACAGGTGAGGCTGCTGGTCGGATGTTCAGTCTGAAACTCCAAGTTTCTCCCAGCCTATTTAAAGTGGCTGTAATGAAACAATTTACTTATTTTAATATAATTTACACTATCTTGACTGATTTGTTGTTGGTCACGATGAACCCACAGAGAATAGGTCTCCTTTAGACCACGGAGACAATAATTGGGACTACTACAGCAAAAAAAATATCTTCAGTACATATTTTGCAGCTATTCTTTATAAATGATACTGTTCTTCTTTTTCTCAATTAAAGATCAAAATCATTAAAGAACTTAAAATAATAACAAATGAGCCCATATGACTATATATAGACTCATATAAGGATAGTCATACCTGAAGTTAAGTCTGTTTTAGGCAGGCAGAGGATGATGTGATACGCGTTTTCTCTTTCTTTTATATTTACCAAGCATCTATCTGCCTTCTTTCCTTCTAAATATTTCTGTCCATGTTCTGTGTTCCTTTATGAAGTAAATGTTTATGTGTGATAAACGTTTTTGTCACACATGAAAACTCCAATCAAAGTCAGGAGACAGCTTAACCATGTCACATGTTAGCAAAGTCTCAATGTTACCCCAGCATAGGACCGGAGCTAACATGTCAAACAGCATTATAAAGTTTCCTCTACTCTTTACTGTTAATACTGTTAAATACTTCAGCATTATTAGTTGCAATATCTGGCAGAGCTTGTATGCAGAGTCACAAAAGAGGGTAAAAGTGTGGAGAGGATGTAAGGAAATTAGGAACTAATCCCAAATTGTTCTAATGCTTTATTGGATTATGAACATTAGAAAGAAAGCATTTAGGTGCACAAAAACTGTTTGTGTGAATGGCTGAACGTGGCATGTTGTTTAAGATGCTTTGAGTGCTCAAGTAGAGTAAAAAAGCTTTATATAAGAGTCAGTCCATTTACGAAGACAAGAAAATTACAACCCAAAAAATCTATCTAACCCCAGTATTTGTTTTGATGAACATGGTACCCTGAGCAGAATTTGGATGCATAAACTGAAATTGGCTATGTAAGACTAATTCATTATAAATATTGCCATTTCCCACAGGTGTGGTTCCAAAACAGAAGAGCTAGAAGTATTAAGACCGGTAGACTCTCCAAGTCCACCAAGTCTGTCCTTGGAGTTAGAGGTTTTGTGGATCCCTCCTCCGGCCCTGCGACTTCCACGTATTCGAACACTCTGGCAGACATGTTCAGGCCAGAGCAGAACCACTCCTGTGAGGAGGTCCCGCAGATTTACTCAGATTGGATGCAAATCTACAGTAACCCCATGTCATCGCCACCATGTTCCTCATCCCTCCATCAGCAGTCCACTCGTAGCTGCTCCAAACCCTCAGAGTCTCGTCTCTGGGAAGAGGAGTACCACGGGCAGCAGCAACAGCACTTAGGAGCCTCACTCACTGGTTTCATTCCTGGTTCGTTTCATCAGTCCATCACCAGGCAGCCTCACCACGCTGCATCTACATGCTCCTATCAGGCCTTCAGGAACTTCAAGTCCCGGAGCTTGGCTCCATCTGGACCTCATCAGGCACTGTGCAGCGGAGGCACTGGAACTGGCGGTCATCCCTCAGTAGATCAGGTTGTCCCTTCCCACCCTCAGCCAATGTACTGGGAAATCTCTCAAGGTCAGGGACAGCACCACCACCACCACCATCATCACCCACAACTGGGACCACAGACCTCGATGGGATATATCTCAGACCTGATCTATAACGCTGCTATTGTTACCAATTTTCTTGAATTCTGATGAATGTATCAAAATCTGTCCTGTGTTTTACCACAGCTGATGAATTTCAGACAAGGCTGTAATACTGTGAAGTAGAGTAGAATTGTTACGATGCTGATTTGTCCAGTTGTATATTTTATGTTTTGAATTATGTCTTGTATATTTTGGGGAATAAACTGAGGCAACTGATCACAGTTTTGAATCTTACTGTTACTTGTCAAAAACAATTGTTCTTGTTTTTATTTTAATAGAATCTGTTATTTTTAAAATCTAATACAAATTAATTAAAAATGTTTTTTTTTAAAGTTAGTTTTAAAAAATTTCTGATATTATAAACTGCATTTTGTGAAGCTGGAAGTAAGCACATATAACATATGTAACATGAAGCTTGTTTCATGTTTTTGTATAATCAAATAATACAACCGCAAATCATATTTTCACATAACTGTTCAGTTGTGTAGTTTATTTTGTTCAGTAGCAATACAAAGGTATTATTACCAAAATATGCAGAAAATATCAGTTCATTGAAATGATTATTATTCATTATTGTTAACTGTATGTTGTGTTTTAATATTGTAGCTTGCAAGGCTGGAACTACTTTACAGTACTAATATTACCAAAAACCCCACATTTTTTTTATCTAGTTTTGAAAATAAATAATATTTAGCAAACATCATAGGTTAAAGTGAAAAAGTTCCCATTAGTTTGTACCACTGTAGTTCCCAAACTTGAAGCCTCATAAACTTGTAACATGTACTTTTTGTCAGTATTTTTTATTAAATTTAAGTGTCAGTTTTTAAGTAAGTCAAGTTTTTATAATCAAGTCACTTATTATATCCTTTTTAACCATTATATGCTACAGCTAATGCTTTATCATGCAGTTTTATTTAACCAAGTAACAGTTTGCCTACTAACAGTAATTAGGGGACTTTTAGGGGACAGCATGGCTTTAGGTAATATCAATTCTCTAACAATTAGCTATTAGGGTATTTTGGCTAATAGTTACCTAATTCCAACGAAGTGATTTTAACATTTACCCATTAGTTTTAGCAGCTCACCATAGCTTTTAGCTTATATCCTTTTTCTAGACATTTATCAAGTAGTTTTAGCATCTGTACTTTTTATTATTTGAGCTACTTTTGGCTAACTACTTGAAACTGATAGTTGTTATTAACTGTTTCATATCTTTGTCAGTGGTGTCATAGACAGTATAAAGTCATCAGCCAAAGCAGTATCTTTTGTAATGTATTTAGTTCAAGCACAATCTTCAAGCCCCCCCCCAAAAAAAACTACTTGAATCACACAATTTGCCCTTTACCCACAGGGTATGTTGATGTCCTATCGGCATTTTTAATGAAACTTGTTCTTATTAAAATTTTTTTAAAGAGCCAAATACACAAAGCTCATGAAATTTTGAAAATGTATTAATGTCAGAAGTTGTATAACCTATGGTCAGATCTGAGAGATCTCTCCATCAGAGAGATACTGCTGTATATATCATGGTTTCTCCTCACAGAAGCCAGCTCCTGTTCTCCTGCTGAACCAGGACATGTTTAATGCTGTGACCCCAAGAGTATTATTTTTCAAAACATCCAGATTAAAATGATTCCTTGTGGTAGGATACCACGACAGGAATAATTATTTTCTAAATCAAAATATATTTTTATCATATCTCTTTGTGCTGTAAGTATCACAGGGTTTACATGGCCTGGGGAAGGGGAAAAATGAAAGCAAAATAAGAACTAAATTAAAGTCAGAGCTCTGGGTCTATCAGCTTACCGCCTCTGTAATTTGACCTGGATTTAAGTTTTGAAATATTACATTAGAGGCATAATACAGAGGCAAATATGACAGACGGGAGTGCCCACTGTTTGTCCAGAGCTGGACAGAGATCTCTGCATATCATAATCATTTTTAATACCAAATAATCTTTCAATAAACCTTTAATCCTGGTGTCAAATCTCAGATCTTAGGAAGAGACTTTTTTTTTTTGGTATTCCAGGATGCAGTCACATCTTTTAATCCTTCCACTGATATGACAGAACTTGACGGGTGGGGGGGGGCATAATTTACAGAACTATGAAACCTTATCTGGAGAGGGGATCAGTAAAAAAGGATCTTCTGTGTTGTAGGATACATGGTGTTATTGTTCTCAGCATGATGATCTTAAAGCACAGCTACTGTACTGGACAGTAATCGGTTGTTTACGTGTTGTTCGGCTTGATATTTCACTTCAAACCAGATATAGTAAGCACAGATCAGGAGATTATTATTAGCACATCTGTTAGGTGGAAACCGTCCAGTAAACATTATGACTGACCATTATTACTGGCCACAGATGGTGACTTTTCCAGAAAAGTCAACACAAGGACATCCTCGTGGCAAAACAACAAGCCAAATGACTTAAAGTCTGTATACTAGCTTCTTTTGATTGTTTAAAAAAAAAACTTGCATTTGTCATTGTTGGTTAGTTTTCTCTGTATATGCATTGGATCTGCCAAATATACTAACCTTGTTGACTGGTTTTGACGTACTGGAAAAAATGACTCTCTTAGTGTCAGGAGACAATGTTCATCTGTTGGGTCACATCACTTTTTTTTTTTAAAGGTTGTCATCCGTTGCCACCTCAAGCTGCTCTTTTGTCTTCCCTGTGCTCCCCCCTTTGGTTGTGATCTACCAACAGCAACAGGCAGAAAATCCACAAATGGACATCTGAGATGAATGGACTGTTTTAGATGATTTATTTGATAAAAATCATATGAAATATGATTACATCTCAGAGCAGAAAAGAACCTCATCATTCATTTTACACAGCAGAGAGGAAAAAACTACGCTGTAGTTTTAGAGTAAAAACAAAAATCTGGGAAATAAATACGAAGTATTTTGAGTATTTTCATTTCACTAGAAAGGGATGCAGAATGTCAAAGAACAAATACTTTGGGGCTTGGAACCATTTCTATTTAGAAATTCTCAGGACGTTTTATTTTTTCATCAATAATTCCTGAAACAATTCAAAAAGAAAGAAAGACCACAGAGGTTTCAGAGTGAGCGTTCTGCTCTGAACCACGGGCTTGGCTGTGGCTGCCAGAGGCCTTACAGACTCCTGCCTACAAGGTGTTGATTCCAAAGGTAACAGCTGCTATGGTTCCCCTAGGTCTCCCTCCATGGTCCGGACCAGGACATACAGCTCAGCAAGCCCAACTACTGATGCGGCGATCACCGCTGAGATCACCCGCTGCAAAACAAATGTTGGAAACAATTTCAGTAAAGCAAAACAAGAACGTCACAAAATACAGAGAAGTTTTATAACGGGACGGACAGCAGCAGGACCGCTTCTCTTACCGCCGTAGTCTCAGTGAACAAGTACTGACTGCCCATGTAGGAACAGGCAAAAGCAGCAACTATTGTAACCAGGAAGTTGAATATGGTGACCACAACTGCTTTGACTGACCGCACTGCAGAGAGAGAAGGTACATAAGCTAAGGATGCACAATCCAGCCTCTATAATGAGATGCTCAACAGTACACTCACCCTGCTGTCCGAAATCTGACAGCACGCCATGGCGGTTGATTTCCTGGAAAATCAAACAAAAAAAGAAAACTGTTAAATATTTTCAAAATATAACTTGTGTGTGAACCCCACAATCAAAATCAGCACTTTGGAAAAAATGTGCACATTTTCTCTGTCTTTGGAAAAATGCATAATTTTAAAAAAATGAATGAGAACAATTTAAAAGACAGGGTTAGGACAACGGAAGAGAATTCCACAGCCTTGGTGCCTGAAAAGCCCAATCCCCACGTGTTTTGAAACTAGTACGTGGACCAATAGTAACTTCTGACCTGAAGACCTAAGTGCTTGGGAAGATGCATGAGGTTTCAACAGGTCAGAGATATACTGGGGAGCTTCACCATGTAGAGCTCTAAAAGTTAAAACTAAAATTTTAAAATGAAACCTAAAGTTTACTGGCAACCAATGAAGAGAAGCCAAAACTAGAGTAATATGTGACCTCTTCTTAGTGCCAGTTAAAAGTCTTGCCGCAGCATTCTGTAAAGTCTGAAGGCCATCCAAAGCTGATTTGTTGAAACAAGTAAAAAAGACCGTTAATACAATTCAAATGAGAAGAAATAAAAACATGAATAATCATCTCAAGTTCTGCCTTTGACACCAGTAGTCTGAGTTTAGACATGTTTCTTAGATGATAAAAACAGTTCAGAACCAGCTGCTTGGAGTGACTCTCTATTTTTTGAACTGTCAAATATGACACCCAAATTTCTATATAATTACTATAAGACTTGCAAAATATTCTGTTCTGGCATTTTTTTTTATCATGTCGTTAAGTGAGAAAGTAGACTTCTTCAGATGTACATTATGAACCTCAAGCTTGGAAGCCATCCATAAACGTTCTAACTTGCAATCTATCTATATTTTTTTTATTTGCATTACATCACCATCCCATCGTTTTAAGAACTGGCATGGACGAGGATGGTTTGTACTCCTCACCATGAGAAAAAAAAAAAATCCAAACATTTCAACAGCACACCCAATACGTTCCAGTGTATCGACCCTGAAATGGCAAAGATGCTTTTAATATTAACAAAAAATGTACCTGAGCATTGACATTTCTTGTGATCCTTTTGTATTCTTCATTGGCTAGTTTAGCTTTAATCTTCTCAAGACGGGCGACCAGCTCAGGGTTCTGAAGTGAGAGGAAGAAGTCACAGTTTAGTTTTTCTCATTACACTGGCTGGGCCTTCTGTGAAAACACTCTAATTACACGGGGCCAAGTCGCAGAAATTACTACATGTTAACACTGCAGTAGGTCTACAGATCTATGGTCTATCACTCACATGTGAATACAGTGTAACAGCAAAGGATGCGCATGAGTGTACATCACAAAACGTGCAGGAATTTACTTACCCTAGGAGGCTTCACGATTTCAGGCAGGTGAAGCGAGCTATCCTCCAGCAACTCATGCAGGTAGAATGGATGCCCTGGATAAATGCAGCCACGGTAAAAAATGT